AGCGTCGGAATCTGGTGAACCAAAGGATGTAACCACAATGGATAACACAAAAGCAAGAACAAGGAGGACTAATGATGAGGTGGTTGCGCTCGCAAACTTAGCAACGCGCGCAGCCATAACCATTAGTACAGTGCTCAAGAATTCTCAAATGTTTACTACTCTCTCCGGAATTATCAATTGTCAGAAGTTTTCATTGACATATTTTGGTCTTAATTTCTTGGTCTTTCAGAAATGGAGAACGCAATAACCTGGACACCAACACAGTTGATGTGCAATTCCAGGAATAGTAAAGATGACCAGGATGCAGAGATAACAATGGAAAAGAAAAATGAAAGTTGGTCAAGCAACTAAGATTTGCCTGCTTGACAGCGTAGAAGGGAGAGGTGAGTAAAGGAGAGATCCAAGGCCAGCCTTCGATTTTATTATGATGATTAGTTGTTAGTGCTATTATATTAGGCAGATATGCTAATTTTAGGTTATGTCTAATATTGGATTAATAGTTATCCTGTCTGCTATATCTATGCAGTTACTGTCTGATATAGATTTTTATTTTTTCAGTTTTAAACTTGCCTTGGTTGGCTTTCGAAGGCCATAACAAAAAAGAAAGAGAAAACAAACCACCAAAATCCCTATTGACAGATGAAACTAGCTGGAAATGTAGGCTATTCATGCCTAGAAATGATTGTCAGTCGCATCAAAATATTGAGTAGTTACATATAGAAGATCATCCATTCTAATTTAGAAGACTGAATTTTTTTGATTAATATAATAAATACATGGGATTATGAGAAACTTAGTTTTTGGTTCAACTTTATACAAGCTTCTGTGAGCATATATTTATTGACTTAAAATAAGCCTGCCCCCTGCCCCATATATGCATATGGGGTCTGCAGTTTCAACACTCACAATTTTCCTGCTACCCTGCACAAACAACTATATATATCTTGTTGTACAAAATCCATAGGTTAATTCAAAGCTTCTTGGAAGGAAATGGAAATTTTTTTCGGTATTCTGCCAGAGCCCATAAGGGGAAAATATTCTTATGGATAGGGTAGTGTAACATGCAGTTATTCTTGAAAACTCCGGTAATTTCCTGCCGAAAAATTCAGATAATGATAAAACAAATTCAAGTTGAAAATTCAAGGAAATGGGAGGAACAATATCCATATCAGTATAGATTGTTACAATGGCGAGGTCATGACAAGATACCTGCTGCGGATAGCTACCATCTTCAGCTTGAGAACTGATCAACAACTTAGCAGCACAGTGAAGTGGAGTTGGATCCATATCCGCCTATTTCAAACCAAAATAATGACAAAAATATCCAAAACTCCGAGGGCATTGGGTTACATCCAAGCCAGTCAAAAAGACCAAGAATCTACAACGAATCAAATTAAGAAGAAACATTAACACACTCACTTAAAGTACCTTGCTTAAATCACAGATTGTACAACTCAACTTCCAAGCTGTGACCATTACATTAAATGAATCTAAATGATGAGATAGTCTAGATCCTTCATAGTTCTTACCATCATTTTATGCCTTTTTTTTTCATAATTCAAGGAAATAATCATGTTTTCAAAGTTGAAGAAAGCGAATTTGGGCAAAAGAACTTGTCTACCATCTTTATACAATCTAGTCTCTACAATAGTGGTATATTCAATTTTCTGCAGTTTGTTCTTCCATGTAGAGAAGCACATTTAATGGCCACACCATCCACGTAACGCTTGGTTTCTGTCTCAGGATAGAAGAGACAAGACATACAGTTGAAACATGGAGACATGAACAGAAGAGATATGTCTTCTTATCTTCTTCTCTTCTTTAAAAAATAAATAAAAATAAAACTTCATTCCAAAACAGTCTTAAAAACTTGTTCCATTAGTCTATAAAATCATATATATATATATTAGGTTATTCACATGTTCTGTTTTGATTAGATCCAAATCTTATTGTGTTAGATACTCACACAATTGCTTAAAACTTTCAGTTTTCACTAGCCCACCATCCCATCTTTATACAATCCAGTCTTTGTAGTAGTATAGCAATAAGGTAATATTTTCAATTATCTTCAGTTTCATCTTCCATGTCCGGAAGCAATTGTATTGGCCATATCTTCTGGTAGTTATTATGATTCGAATCCCGGGTTCGTAATTGGCAATACATGAGTAGTGTCGAAAAGATATCATACCTACTCAAAAGAACAAGTTATTCAAAAATACATAGCATTTTATAATCTTCAGAAATATTATATTATTCAAAATTGATGAACTCAAAATATAGTTTCAAACTCTTCATCGGTAATTAAAACAAAAATAATAATTCATAATACTCATTACATTGTCAAAATCCAAACTTAATTAAAACAAGGTAATAATGGAGTATCTAAGACATCGAATGAAAAGGAAAGGAAAGCCTCACAAAACAAGCAAGACATACTAACCAAAATTGAAGAAATAGGAACACTTAATAAAATCCACCTGCTATTGGAAACTAAGAACCTGAAATAATATTAAGAATGAGAGGTGAGTTCAACCAACTCAGTGAGGAAATAATATTTAATATACATTTTAGATATTTTATGTATTAATAGTTTACAAGATGATTTATCTTGATATACATATACATATACATACTAATCATAGCGTAGTGGAATACATGTCAGAGATCAGATGACACCCGAAAGTAACTAGATGACACCCGGAGGTGACCACTGTGGGATGATCAATCGCTACAGGCTGATGCCTCTCTTATCAGCTGGGTATATAGAATACTATGTGCACATAGGCTAACTACTCTCCGTTAGCATGAAATTACTGACAAGTCCTATATCAAGGCATAATAGATATTCAAAGAATCATCAACGAAATGTATATCATATCGAATAGAATTTAATTTGACAGATTACGAGTGCAAATTCAAGAATAGATGAGTACTTGAAAAATAAAACAATATATATAAATATTCAAGAGATTAACAAATTGTACTCATCATATAATCAACATACATATTTATTTATATTATATGCATATTAAATATTATTTCACTCACCCGAAAGAATATAGATTAAAAAGAAAATCAGATAAAAAACTCAAAAAACCTATTAAGGATCGTTAAGGGAACCTACAATAAATATATGAAATATACTCAAAAGCAACTCAAAAAAACACAAATAAAAAATTCTAATTCATAAAAGAAAATCAGGTTTAGTCTCCTAGGTTTAGGGATTAAAATAACAATTATCCAAAATAGAGACCAAAACGTAATTTTACCAACACTAGACCAAAATATAAATACATAACCATACTCAAATTCCACCTATAAAACATCCTCAATTCTATCCAGAATGAAACAGGGGCCAAATTGTAATGTTTTAAAAGTTTAGGGATAAAAATATAAATTCTTAAAATTAAAGGACCATACTGAAAATATTCCAAATCAATTATCAAACTGAGATTCATCATCCTTAACCTCATAATAACACTGCCCAGAATCTCAAAATATACCCAGAATCTCAAAATATATTTAGGGATGAAATTGTAATTTTTTTAAAATTTAAAAACTAAATTGAAACTTTCACAGTTTAAAAACCAAAATAAAATCTGATCATCGAGCTTCTTCAACCTCAGGACTCCCACCTTCAGGATCATACTCCCATGTCTGCCCCCCTACGAACTTGTTTGTGCTATGCAAGTAGTCATTGCTGCTGCTGCCTTCTGCAATCTTTAGCCTCCGCATAATATATATAGACACGCTATATATTAGTCGATCGTAATAATGCAACTGAAATGTACAGAGGGGAGGGGAAATTGGATATGTACATGATGAGCAAGAGCTAGCTAGAAGAAATATATGAGCGGTTGGCTCTTGGCAACAACCTACAAATTACCAAGGGAGAATATTGTACTATATGTACTATTACTTGATAGCAATCAGAGAAGAGACAGTATAGTGATCTTTGGCAGAAACAAGATAGTGATCTTTGGCAGAAGAAAACATGAACTTCTTGCTGCTGCTGCCTCTGCTGCTGCTGCTGCTGCTGCTGCTAAGTAGTACAAATAGATGAACAGACAGCTAGCTCAGCTTTCAAGATTGATGAGACGTATAGTAGGGGATAGGTAGAGTTTTATTTTATTTTTTTATTCTTTTTGTGTGCGCTGCTGCTGCTATATCAACGGGAAAGGTGGTCGACTAGCAACCCTTTTAAATTTTTCATTTTCTCTTTCTCAAAGTAGAGAAGGGAGTAGAAAAAGAAATAGCAGTCAGTCCCCATTCTATATATTCAATCAGTTTTTGGTCTGCAAAAAACTTGTCGCTTCAGAATTATTGATGTTTTTAGAAAAATACTTGCTTAAAAATTAACTCATATTTGCTAATTTAAAATTAAAATATGCATAATTTGAGAATAATTTAATTATAAGATCACATTTCAAACCCTAAATAATGCAAAAGAATTGTCTTCCTCCATCTTTGTAAGCTATTTATATATTGTAGAATTAATAAATTTTATCTATCAATTTTAACTCTTAAATTGAAATGATTTTCTTACTAGTCGTTGCATATAGATTTAACTTCCGTGTTATTAAAAAAAATATACATATTTGTTTCTCATTTAAGTAAGAAATTAAGGAACTTGGCCTTAAAATTAATATGTGTTGGTTCATGATCTAGAAAGTATTTTGGTCTTATATTTTTGTCAAATTATTTTTTAAATTTTTTTGAATCATTTCAATGTGTTAATATCATAAATAAATTTTAAAAAATAAAAATATATATTATTTTAATATATTTAAAAAATAAACACTTTGGAAAACAACTATATCCTAATTAGAAAAGCATATCTTCATATAAATACGTGTTTCACTGAATTATTTGATAAATTTTTAGGAAGGGGAAGGGTGCCATATTCATATTCTTCGTCTTAAACTTTAATAATTTTCTTCATATTCCCAACAATATTTGGCCATCAATCAAATCCACCCTGCAAAAAATATGTGATACATACAATGTCAGGCAATACTTTATTGATTAATTCTTAGGATTAATCAATCCTAAAAATTATTGTCGCCCTGCCCTATGGACATTGCTTGAGGGCTACAATCATTCTTAATTAATTATCTCCACCCTGCAAAAAAATATGTAATACATCCCTTCTCAGGCAATACTTTATTGATTAAATCTTAGGATTAATTAGGGCAAATGATTTTGGGATTAATTATTGGACGAGGGCCACAATCACTCTTAATTAATTTTTCTATCTTTATGCCATGTGTGTGCCTATATATATATATATATATATATATAATACTAAATTGAAAAAAAAAATACATTAGTATACTCAAGCATGTTTGACTATTACTCTTCGACCCCAAATGCCTATGCTACAGGCCCGTTGGGCTAAGTCCACAAGCATGTTGGGCTAAGTCTGATGCTTATGAAATCTAATTTTTAGGCATGATAGGTGCTAACATGTCTGGCAGCTTGGTCAGTGTGCTTTCAAGTTAATGGGATGGGCATGATGACATGCATCTCCTGCAAGTGTTGAGCTCAAGGTTTTTTGTCACTGCATCCTTAGCGTGGTTGCATGTTCATTTAAGCCTAACACATGGCCGAATCTACTATACCAATAGATTCAAATATAAAATCGAAATTTAACATAATATCTCATAAATTTTAGAAGAATTATTTTTTAATAAATAAAATTAATTAAAAAAATCTATAATCTATCAATATCATTAAATATATTAAAATCTTTCATGGTCTATCATGTCTTAGTTGGATAAAATAAATAGAATTCATCTTACAATAAAAAATTAACTTATAAAGATAGAATGACTCTCTAGCTTCTTTACTTCAGTAAAAGGATAAGATTTAGAGGCTATAAATATCTCTTGAAATACCAAAGAATAAATATTTATGTTCTCTTTATTTTTAATAATTTTTAATATATATATATATATATATATATATTTAAAATTTATCTTTTTAAAACATCAGTGTATTTTCTCTTTAAAAATATATATCCTCAAAACTATAAAAAGAAATCTTTTGAAGATATCAACCATTATCCACAGTAATCTATTACGCACCCATTAAAAGCTATTACTGAGAAAAATGAATTAGAATGGTATAAGTAATAAATTAATCAATTAACTAACAATAACTATTTTTAATAGTTACAAAATAATTTATTGGATTCAAACTTTCAGTTTTGAATTTAAAAAACTTTATTATATTCTTTTGAATTAAGTCAATATTAAAGTACGTAATTAAAAACGTATAAAAATAAAATATGAACTCAAATTAGTTTGAAAATACTCCTTTATCGTACAACTAGACAGACAAATAATAGTGTTTTTATTATCCTTGAGCAGTACAACACAACAAAACATGAATGGACTAAAATTAACATCCTCAACTTCATCATGTGATCACCACCAGCTATATACCTAACAAATGTAACTTGTGGTTAAAAAATAAACAAAAAGATTTCATTGAAGTTTATATAAAATTCTTGTTCAAAGCTCGTTGATTAATTACTCCGTGAGCTGATTAAATTTTAAGGTATTCATTACTACCCCCAACATTTAAGTGGTTGGTTTGATAATTAAATAGGTCTATTTTATTTCTTGACCTTTTAAATTTAAATTAAAAAAAAAGTGAGAGAATTTAGAGAGTCAACACATCTAGAAAGTAGGTTTTTTAAGAAATAGATTTTTAAAAAATAAATTATATTTTCATGAGTATAATAAAAAATAAATTAGAAAATACCTTTTAATATTTGATTATATTATAAAAAATAAATTAAAAATAACTTATTAAATTATTTTTCAAGCTTATTAAAAGAATGAGAACAAAATCTATCCAAAAAAAAATTTAAATAAGAATGAACTTGAAAAAAATATAAATTATTTCAAATAAAATAAATAAAAATTATAAAAATAAAGACTAAATCTAAGTGTATAAAAAAGTTGAAAAATAATAAAATTAAAGTTAAAATAATTTGAAGTAAAGAAATAAAAAAATTTAAAATGTACTTAACATAAAGGACTTAATAATAATGTGACCAAAAAAACGTTTTTGAAGCAGGTGGACTAACTAATTAAAAAAGAAAGAAAGAGTAAAGGCTTTCTTGAAATATATAGAAAAAGTGTACTATCACGTGCAATGGTACGTGTTAACTAGAATTAATGTTGTATGGTATGACGATTATTCCGAAGACCACACCAACAAAAAGCTTTTGAAGTAGAGGGCCCACTAAGATATAAACGCAACATTAAAGGCTTTATTCTTCTCTTGTCAAGGTTTTATTTTATTTTATTTATGATTGTTGGGCGCTGCGGTTAATTGCGCAATGTTTTTTCAAAAAGAATTAATATTTTTATATTATCTTGGTGCATTGGTGATAAGAAATAAAAATAAAAAATATTAATTTAATATATTTTTAAATAAATAATATTTTAAAAAATAATATTTATCCCTACCATAAACACCCCTTTATCAAACAATAAAAGGAGAGATGATAAATGATTCCAGTTATAAGTCTCATTGAAAAGATTCATTAACAAAGAGAAGAGAATTTAATAATAAATAAATACATGAAAATTAAAAAAAAACTTTTTAGAAAATCATTTTCCATGCAACAACAATATGGGAACTGTGTATAATTTTCCAGTTATCTTGATGCATGGTTTTTTCACTCTACGTTATCTCATTATTTATTTTCTCACACGATTATTCCGAATGAACTGTATAGAATATTTTTTATTCTCAATTTTATTTTTGATAATTTAATTTTACAAAAACTATAAAAATATTTAATTCATCACGACGGGTCAAATTACTAGTTTTTTTCTAAACTAGGCTTCAATGTTTTATGTCTCACAAACTATATGCATAAATATTTCGATGAATTACATCAATCTTTTATAATTATGAAATTACATTATAGCATATTTTAAATCATCTTAATTAAAAAGTTTTAATAAAATCTCACAAGAAGTGTTAATATTTGAATTTTAAATAAAATTAATTTTTTTAAAAAATAACACAAAATTAAATCAATGATCAATATTTTTTATTTACTACACTAAAATAATAAAAAATATTAAAACTAGTTTCCTCAAAATATGCACCAACCTATTCTTTTCACTCTTCTTCATTTTATAAAGATTGTAATTTCGGAACAAGGTAAATTAGATTCAATAATAAAATATTTCTTTTAAGATTATAAATTCAATTTATTTATTAATTAAATTTAATTATGGTAGAGAATAACCGGTTAATCTCTTTCTGATGTACATCAAGAGTTTCATGTATGATTAATTGTAGTGTATGTTATTGTTGCGTGTGAGTGTATGTATATAATTTTACTATCCTTAGGTGTCGTCATCGTCTTTGTGTTTATACCAAAAATGCTTTATTTTTATCCTAATTTGATCGTCAGAAATATACACATGACAACAAACGCTCAGCATCCCCTTCATGGCAACCCCTCCTTCTTAAATTTAAAATTATGCTTTAATGTCTCCAATCAACAACTAACCGAACCCTCACCTATTTAATTTAAAATTATGCTCTAAGGAGGTCACAAATCAACAATTAACCTAATGCTCGAACTAGATTTAATAATGTAAGGCTTGAACTCATATCCAAGTTAGCTCAAATACAACCTTTATTAATCTAGGCATGCTCAAATTATCCAAACTTATCATATGTTAATTTAGATATATAAACTCATCCTAGCTTTCCTCTCATCAAATCAAAAATTTTAATTTTTAATTTTAAGTTTTTTTATTCAGAAAAGATAAAAATAACAAATAAATAGTTTTTTTTCATATTACTTTTAATTATAATTTTTTATGGAAAGATTAAAAAAGAGATTATGGGCTATAAAGATTTAAGTTTATGTTGTTAAATTTAATTTATGATTATTAGAGTTTAAGGTTAAGTGATTGATTTCGAGTGTATTGTTAGAAATAATAATTTATGAGTTAATTTATTTAAATTGATTTGTTATAGGTTAAGAATTTCATTTCAACTTTGTTGCAAAATCTCGATAGAATGGTTTTGAGGTTGAAGATGGTGAAATTTTATTTGGTCATTGATTTATAAAAATTATAGTTTAGTCCCTAAACTTTGAAAAATTATAATTTGACCTCAAACATATTTTGAAATTCTAGAAGTGCTATTATGAAGTTAAAGATGATGAATGCCAGTTTGAGAATTGATTTGGAATATTTTCAGTTTGGTATCTTAATTTTAGAAACTTACATTTTAGTTCCCTAAACTTTTAAAAAAATTACAGTTCGGTCCCTGGTTCATTTCTGGAAAGATTGAGGGTTTTTTATGGGTAAAATTTCAGTATGGTTATGTATTTACAGTTTGGTCCTCCAATTTTGGTAAAATTACATTTTGGTTTCTGTTTTGGAAAATTATCGTTTTAATTCCTAAACTTAGGAGACTAAACCTGATTTTCTTTTATGCATTAGAATATTTTATTTGTGTTCTTTTTGTGTTTTTTTTTTAGTATATCTCGTATATTGCTGTAGGTTTTCCTAACAATTTTTAATAAAATGTTCAAGTGTTTCATCCGATATTCTTTTTAATTCTATTTTTTCTAGGTGAGTGGAATAATCATTAATATGCATGTAATATTAATAAATATGTATGTTGATTATATGATGAGTACGACTAGTTAATTCTTGAATATTTATATATGTCGATTTATTTTTCAAGTATTTATCTATTCTTGAATTTATACTTGCAATTGATTGAACTAAATCTATTTGATATGATATACATTGCTTTGATAATTATGCAAATATCTATTATATTTTGATTTAGGAATTGTCAATAACTTTATGCTAATAAAGAGTAGTTAGTCTATGTGCACATAGTATTCTATATACCTAGCTGATGAGAGGGGCGCTAGCCTGCGACAACTGATTATCCTACAGTGGTCACCTTCAAGTGCTATCTAATCTCTAACATATATTCTCCTACTTTATGATAATATACTTTTTGTGTATGTGTGTGTGTCAAGATAAATTAATTTATAAATTATTAATATTTAAAATGTATATTAAATATTATTCCCTCACTGAATTGGTTGAACTCACTCTTTATTTTTAATATTATTTTAAGTTCTTAATTTCTGTTAATATGTGGACTTTGTTGAGTGTTCCTGTTTCTTCAGTTTTGGTTGATATATCTTACTTATTTCACAAGGTTTTTATTTTAGTTTTGATTCAATGTTTTAGACGTTCAACTATTACTTTATTTTAACTAAGCTTAGATTTTGACAATGTAATGAGTATTAAGAATTATTGCTTTTGCTTTAATTACTGATGAGAAGTTTTCAACTGTTATTTGGTTTTATTAATCTTGAAAAATATAATATTTTTAAAAATTATGAAATTTGTATTTTTAAATAATTTATTTTTTTAATATGTTTATTCTAGGCTTAATTTAAATGAGATGTTGTTTCTATACCGTTGCTACATTACTAGTCATGGACTGAGATTCGGATACAGACGAATAACAATAGCATTGACAAGCAACATGGAGGCTACCTCGCTTAGGAAGATGAATCTCTCCATAAAATCTTTCATGCGTAAAAATAAAAAGAAAAAATCTCCAAAAGTCCTAAGCATCCAAGCCTACTAACGAAGACATATTCAAGAGGCATAACCAAATAAGAAGAAATTAATCTTTTGATCTATTTTAGTCTTGATAGAACACAGCACTAGTAATCAGAATCCTCCATCTGACTAGAAATTGTAATATCGTCTCTTAAGTTCATACTCGATCGCTGAACTAATCGCACCAATGCTTGGACTACCTCTGACATAGGTGGCCGAAATTCAGGCTCCGCCTAGTAATACCAAAAGTGCAACGCAAAATATTACTTCTCAAAATATTACTTCTCTTTGAAGAGTTCACCAACCTTTTGAATTTGTGATAAAAAGAGAAAGGAAATCTATCCTGCACTAACATTTCCTTGGCATGGAGGGAAAACGAAGCCGGTTCTTACCTGTGCACAGAGGGCAATGATATCAGCGAATCGAGATACTGACTTCGGAGGGTATAGCCCACGCAATGCAGGGTCAACCATTTTTTCCAATGAATCAATGTCATGCAGTTGCGGGGTGGACCATCGGACCAAACATTGTTCTGATTTGGGTCTCGAACTGTAAGGAAGTAAAGAAATATGACAGCTTAACTAGTTATGATATAGAGATTACATTGATTAACAACACTAGCAAATGGTGAATAAAAAGATTGCAGCAGTAGTGTCACCATACCTGTCTAAAGGCTTCCGGCAAGTCAATAGCTCCAGCATCACCACTCCAAAGCTGTAAACATCACTCTTCATTGTGTAAGCTGGAGGTTCAGTGCACTCTGGCGCATTGTATCCTACACCAAGGTTTTGGCTTGTCCGCTGAAAAGGAGAAAAATTATAATGATCAACATGGATTATGTTAATTTTATGCGCCGTTGAAATCACATTTCCAAACTATGCTCGCGGTAAGGAGATCTTTTTATGTCTCAAGAATTACTAACATGATGAAAGTTTTCCAGCCCGTAGTCGCAAAGACATGGGTTGAGTTCATTGTCAAGCAAAATATTTGATGACTTGATGTTCTTGTGGATGAAGGATGGAGAACAAACTTCATGGAGGTACCTGATGTGAAAATGTACTTACTTCGTTAGAGAAAAGAAGGGAAGGAAACAGCTATGGGGAATCATTCTGCAGGTGGGAGTACATCTGCTCCCTTACTCTTACAATCTAAGCATTTAGCCAATATCCATTTCAGGTAATCGAGTTGCATCAGCATGTGTTTGTATTAACTTACTCAACAGCGCGGGCCGTGCCCAAAGCTATTCTAACTCTGGTATTCCACGTTAGTGGTTTACTGTAGTCATCTGCTACATGCAGGAAACCATGAAGTGATCCATTCCTGAAATAGTCATATATCAACATGTTATGCCCTTGTTCTGCACAATAACCAACAAGCTCAGCAATGTTCGGATGGTGAACTTTTGAGATGCTTGTGACAATTTCTGAAAAATCCTCTGGCTTTGCACCTTGAAGAAGTGATAAATCAATCGTTTTGACAGCTAAAACCTGACAAGCAAAAAGTAAATTATGTTTCAAGAATGCAAAATCCAAACTTCTCGTTGCAAATTGTGTTTGATTCTGTGTAAATCCAGTGACAATTACCACATAAAATATGAAATGACTAAGCATACCTTCCCATCAGGATATTTTGCCCTGTAGACGCGACCAAGGGAACCCTCACCAATAAGTCGGCCTGGTGCAAAATTTCCAGTAGCACTCTGCAAATCTGTCAATGAAAAAGCTACGGCACGAACAGAGGTGTTTCTTCCTGGATTTAGACAGCTTGCAAACTGGTTGTCATTTATAGACTGAGAAAAATTGGAAGGTGGAGGCTTGCAGCTCATGGAAGCAGCTTTTTTGAAAGTTCTTATATCAATCGGACCAGATGAATTGAGTGACTCAGTTTCTGTCACCAGTAAATCATATTGTTAATTTCACACCAACAATGCCATCAGAATGCACAGTTGGCACGAGACATCATTAAACAGTGACATTATGGTGTGAGCAGAAAGTGTATGAAAGTTGTCAACCATAAAATAATGCTGGAAGTCGGTCAAATAAATACCTTTAAACTCTTTCTTTATGGAAGCAATCGTGTGATTGGATAGTTCTTGTGATGAAAGGGGAGTAAATGTTCTATGCCGGCTACCTTTCTCCTCGTCAAGAAAATTTGAAGATGGAGAGGACCTTTTTCTTGAAAATAGTAATAGGAGAAGTACAAGAACAACCAGTGAAGCCAATACTATTAAAGCTATAGCGAGTCCACTCATGCCCTTCTTTCCACCTCCCTTTTCATGGGCTGGACTAGATTTACCACGAGGAGCATGGCCAGATGACCACGAATTCCCCCCGGTTCTTCAGAAAATAGAATCACAAAGTCAGCGAAGCATTTTCTTACATCCTCAAAAAAGTAAATAAATAAATAAATAAAATTGCGGATTTAGATTGCGCTTACTCCAGATTATCAATGCCCTCCAGCGAATCAGGGACCCAGCCAGTGAACTCGTTGTCCTCAACATTCCTGCCGGTGTAACAGTGGATTCAGGTTAGTGAGTCCTTTTGTGATGTTTTGAAAATTAGTAGTAAAGGGCAACTAAGTTATTGGTAGCTTAAAAAAAAGTAATTATAATTAAATGAGGGGTATTGTAATAATTGAATAATAATTGATAAATATAAATAGAAAGAAAATAAAACAAAAAAACAAAAGAGAAAGCTGTGTTTTTTTGAGAGCAAATGTAAGAGAGGGAGAAGGAAAAAGAAGAAGAGAAAGAAAAGAAGAGAAAGGGAAGAGATTGAGAAGAAATAACTTTAAAGGTAAGATTTAGGTTGTTAAATGTATAAATGTGTTGTTTGAAATTTAAATTTATATTTTGATAAATATTAGGGTTTTAAAAATTTATGTTTTGGGTTAATTGATGAATTAATTTGAATGTTATAGGGTTGATTGTTGTGGGTAATTGATTAATTAGTTGATTTTGAGAGATTGTTGGTAAAGATGATGATGTTGAGTTATGATTTGTGTAAATTGTGAATTTTGAGTTGGAATTCTGGAAAGAACAGTAGGTAATCTGTGAACAATTCTGGATTTGAGGTTAAAGATGATGAAAATTCAATTTGGTCCCTCAATTTATGGAAATTACAATTTAGTCCCTAAACTTTGGAAAAATTATAATTTGACCCCTAATGGTATTTTGAGATTCTAGACAGTGTTATTATGAGGTTAAGGATGATGAATCTCAGTTTGATAATTGATTTGGAATATTTTTAGTTTGGTCCCTAAATTTTAGGAATTTACATTTTAGTCCCTAAAACTTTATAAAAATTACTTTTAGGTCCCTAGTTCGTTCTGGACAGAATGAAGGATGGTTTATGGGTGAAATTTCAGTATGGTTATATATTTACAGTTTGGTCCAGTTTTGGTAAAATTACATTTTGGTCCCTATTTGGATAATTATCGTTTTAGTCCCTAAACCTAGGAGAGTAAACCTAGTTTTATTTTATGCATTGAGATATTTTGTTTGAGTTGTTTTTGAGTATATTTCATATATTGTTGTAGGTTCTCCTAACGATCCTCAATAGGATTTTCGGTCTTTCGTATGACGTTCCTTTAGTTCTATATTTTCCGGGTGAATGGGATAATCTTTAATATGCATATAATATAAGTAAATATGTATGTTGATTATATGATGAGTACGATTAGTTAATCTCTTGAATATTTATATTTATATATCTTGCTTTGTTTTCCGAGTACTCATCTATTTTTGAAATTTGCACTCGCATTTTATCGAGTTAAATTCTATTTGATATGATATACATTTCTTTGATGATTCTGTAAATATCTATTATGTCTTGATATAGGACTTGTCAGTAACTCCATGCTAACAGAGAGTAGTTAGTTTATATGCACATAATATTCTGTATACCTAGCTGATGAGAGAAGCATCAGCCTGTGGCGACTGATCATCCCACAGTGGTCACCTTCGGGTGTCATCTGGTCACCCTCGGGTGTCATCTGATCTCTGACATGTATTCCACTACGTTATGATAATATGTTCAGTATGTATATGTATATGTATATCATTCTACTATGTTATGATAATATATTTAGTATATATATGTATATGTATATCAAGATAAATCATCTGGCAAATTATTAATATGAAAATATCTAAAATGTATATTAAATATTATTTCCTTACTGAGTTGGTTGAACTCACCCCTCATTCTTAATATTATTTCAGGTTCTTAGTTTCTGATAGTAGTTGGACTTTGTTGAGTGTTTCTACTTCTTCAGTTTTGGGTCGGTATGCCTTGCTTATTGTTCAAGGTTGTTTTGATTCGATGTCTTAGACGCTCCACTATTACTCTGTTTTAATTAAGTTTGGATTTTGACAATGTAATGAGTATTATGAATTATTATTTTTATTTTAATTACTTATGAAGAGTTTTAAACTATTCTTTGATTTCATCAGCTTTGAGTAATATACTATTTCTGAAGATTATGAAATGTTGCGTATTTTTGAATATCTTGTTCTTTTGATATGTCTGTTTTGAGGCTTAGTGTAAGTGGGGTGTCTTTTCGACACTACTCCTGCGTTGCCGGTCATGGACCCGGAATTCGGGTCGTGACACCTTTACTCTCCACTAACATCAACTACTGTATTTAAGTTTCATCATTCTTATACATGAATCAAGTGAAGTGCAAAGTGAACGCTACTCACATATGCTGTATCCAACTATCAAATTAATGCAGTGATTGAGGACTTCTGAATTTTGTACAATTATCAATATTTCTCACCTAAACTCAAGAACTAGAGCTGTTTAATTGAACTGTGCAGAAGGTAACTTACAAATCTTTAAGGGGGAGTGCGGCGAGGACATCTAAGGTACCAGTGAATTTATTGTCTTGCAAATGCCTGTACAAAGGCAAACAATCACAACAAGAAACTAAAAGCACATTAATGAAGAATTTATAACTTCTTACAGTGTGCTGAGGCTTTTGAGTGCAGAAAAACTTTGAGGCAGATTCCCAGAGATCGAGTTGTGGGATAGATCCCTGTCATTCATCTCCATGAGTGTGGACCATAAATTCAACAAGAGAAAGAGTCACAACCTTTTGATTTCGGTTAGTAGTACTTACATTGTTTTGAGTTTAGTGAGTTTTTGAAACATATCACTCAGCTGTCCATTGATTTTATTATGATTAAGATTTCTGGAGGAAGCATCGAACAATGAGTATTCATTCTGAACAACTGGAAGGTTTGGTAACAAAAGGCAGACCAAGTTTACTTACAGGTATTGAAGTTTAGTCATCTGTGAAATTGAGTAGGGCACATTTCCAGTGAAGCCATTATTAGAAAGATCTCTGCATATTAAACCTTACAAGATTAATATCAAACACATTGTATTCAATCTTTCCAGTAAAAAAGTGAGCTAGGTTAAATAAAAAAGGCTTGTTTTATCCTGCTCCAGATAAATTTGTTGGTATATTCAATATTAATAAAAGAAAATGTCAGGAGACTTACAAGTTAACTGTATTGGGAGGAAGCTGGTATGGTATATCATTATTGAGGTTGTTTTTGCTCACGTCACTGTACTATCACAAATAATACAAAAAGCATTGAGGTTATGTTCCTTCATCAGAAAAAAGTAGTGTAAGAAGTGCTGTGATTTAGAAGCTGGGCCTCACAAGTAGGTGACAGATTTCAAGTTTGATAGCTGGTAACCCAGTGATCCAGTAAGTCCGAGTCCAGATAACTTTCTGCAAAATTTTGACAAATAGAAGGCAGCATTCAGAAATTTCAGGGTTATTCCTGCTAAATTTATGAAATGTAAGATCTGTTCACTGGATATACTTAGATAAGCAAATCTAACTACATTTGAGTCACAGATGAGCCTGAGCATTGGATCCCTTCCCATGAGTCTCCACAAGGGTCTCCACCTCTTGATTTCCATCCACTCAGTTTTGAAGGAGAATTTAAGCTTGTAAACATCACATTCAAAGCCGAAACTGCAATCACAATACTGGAAACATCAGAATCTTTAAATACAACTACATATGACAGTAACTTATTATTTTCTAATCATATAGATACTCAGCAAATTATGATTATGTGATTGAAAATCATAAAAGAAGGGTTCAGAGTTTTAATGCTGTCCTCAAATATTTGAAGCTTTTAAGCCTACTTGTATCCAGTTTTGGTCCAAACTTATGGCTAAAACAACCAGTTCTTCAGTGGAGCACAAGGGATCCAATAACCAGATTGAAATACTTCTAAAGAAAAGCTTCTATTTTCTATAACTTAAACCCCTCGGTTCGCATTCCATTACAGGTTCCGCTTTAAACCTAGACCATTGGACTATTGGAGGTGAAAATTGAGCTTATGGTTTTCTTCTATTATTTATTTAGCCTCAAAAAGGGTTCAACTTGATTCAAACATTACAACTGTATATTGAAATGAGATTTTCAGCATAGTTATTTTCATATTGAATGTGTTTATCTAGATATACATGAAGTAGTTGTAAATATGCCTTGACAGATCCAATCTATGAAAGCTAAGAACACCCCATCAGAAGTTATTTGCATTTAGAGAGAATAGCTTTCACTATCAATTGATTAAACAAAAATGGTTATGGTATTGATAAAGGCAATGTAGATCATAGATCACCCTTGAATGGTGTTAAATAAATCAAATTACATTCTCTCCTGAGGTTAAACATGCACAGAAATTTCAACCTCTGATCAACCTTAAGAGCCGACATATATAAGTTATCTGTGAAAGGAACCTTACAAAATGTTTATATAGTTCCTAAACACCATCACCTCATTCAACTATGGTAATTACCATGAGAATCAAAACAAAATGTCAAGTAAAATCAATTAGAATTTCAGTGCATCCACAAATGGTGTACGGTACATACCATCATCAGAATCAGTCTTTGAATGGACAAAAGTGGTCAGAATTCCAAGAGAGACAATCAAGAACCCTACAAGACTATCGTGCATTGTCCTAAACCAAAACATAAACCAATATTTAAGCAGAAGAAAAGAGTGATGTGCTTATAAAAGCAACAAGATATTCAAGCTATCAAGGGGATGGCGATGAATAATGACGTTTCAGAATTCAGCCAAGAACAACAAGTTCCTGGCCTTCTAGGAGCAACAAGGGAATGGGAGTTTTCTCCTGTTCTTTGTTTATTATTTCTTCGGCTGTGGAAGCTTGAGGAATTTTCTTTATTGAAAAGAAAGAAGGAAAAGAAAAGTTGGCTATTTTTGAAGGAAGAGGGCTAAAAAAGTGAGTGGCATTTTTGCAGAGAAAAAAGGAGAGCGAATGATCAGGAGAAATGAGAGTCTGTCACTGTTTTCCAGCCTCTCAAGTTATTGCCGAGTGGTAAAGCCTTCTATTACAGTCTTCCTTCCTTTTATTAGCCGTTTTTCTCCAAGCCTTTTTCATAATCCATGGGGTTTTTCTTTTTTTTTTTTCCTTCTACAATAGTTACGTATCCTTGTATTTTACGGATGGTCAAAGGTATCTTCAAGCCAATTTGCTCATACATTACAATTATTTATATGAGAAATTTTATGGTATTTGAAAGTAAATAATCACATCTTCTTAGTTATTATCTATAATTTTTTATTTTTTATTTTTTTTTAAAAAGAAGAATCTTATATGGTGATATTGTAATTTCTGAACTCCCTGAGAGTTCTACATAACATGGCAAAGCATAATTCTCCATTCCATTCGTATCAATATAATCTATTTCATTCATTTCAATATATTCTAACTGAAAGGGTGGCAATAATTATACAGGAGTAAATTAATGAAAATTGAGGAAAGATGTCTGGAATATGGAAAATCACTAGGAGAGAATGTCTCCAGTCAATAAATACTCCACAATTTGGTAATTGCCATATCAAGCTTTGTTATGATCTTTTTATATGATTCGTACCCTTTTCAAGCTTGCTTTTTGTGTCCTTAATTCAGTGATGGCAGCCTTGAATTGAATTTTAGGTCAAAAGTCAAAACAAATTAGGGCAAATAAAGAACCAAAAACGATCTCCTATATTATCTTTCGTAATTTATAATGTGATTAATAATACAGTGAAAGTGTTTTTTAAAAGTATATTAAAATAACATTTCTTTAAATTTTTTTGTCAGCAAAATAACAACTTAGAAAACACTTTCAAAGGCAGGAGCAACTGCAGTGACAATCGAGCACAGCCCAGCAACTTCGTCACGGCTAATCTTGATGCTGCAAATCTCGAGTCTTCAAGAGGATACAAGATTGAGAGCTCTCAACATTTAAGCTTTCCAAACTTTTTGGTGTTGGCTCAATCTTCGCACCTTGGTGTTGGCTCCTGACTTCCTGAAGATGGCTTGATAATTATATTAGTGGAAAATGGTAATAAGAATAATTAAGTCACAATTTTTCTATACACTTAGTATTCAATGAACCAAACTACAACTGATGAGAAAGAAATTCAGCTCACTCCTACACGGACTAAATATGCACTCTCCTTAAGATGCATAAATGTCAGATTCCATGCTCTAGTTAACAGAATATGCGGTAACAAGCTTTATGAGGTCCACCACCATTACTCTTGGTCATACAATGTCATCATGTACATCATCTTTCCCTTTCTTGGCCTGACGAGGCATCATGTTTTCTCAGCTTTGTCAGGATATATGCCATGGCAACTTTAGCACCAAGGCTAGAGTGCCCACGGGACAGGAAGATTACACCCCCTAGAAGAAGCAGACCATTTGCGACAATTTTTTTAGATGGCCTTCTCAGGAATTTCTTCTCTTCGGCTTCACCAGTATCTAGTCCCTGTGCGGCAATCAATGTTGAAGTTGCCTGAGTATCCACAACAGTGTTCAATGTTTCTAGTTCAGGTGGAACCTATGCCACAAGAGAAACCACAAATTTGATGATCTCAAAATAATGAAGCAAGTAATGTTTTCTTTTTCAGTAATTTTGGCAGTTTAATCACCTACCCAAGTTTTTAGAAACTGAGTCATTTACACTACATATTTTGAATATTATGTGTAATGTTCTTAAGGAAACCTTGAATTCACCAGTATTTTTTTGATAGGCTGTGCTAATTCAGAAATATTTTCTTTAACAACATCGGTATTTCAAGATGGTGGTGCTCACCTTCTGGATAAGAGTCACTGCAGTAACAGCTGGACCTGTCCAAGGATGACTCATCAGAGAGTATTTGCGTAGTGCATCATTCATCTTGCATACATAGCTCCATATGCCCCTTGAGAAAGCCAACTTTGCCATCTCCAAATTCAAACCAGCATCTTCTTGGTGAAACATTGTGATCTGACAAGCGTTTCTACCAGGGACTGTAAAAGAAAGTGATTGAAATTACAAAATAATCAATAAACAAGTAAACTACTTCCATTTAGGAAGAGTTAAAAGAATAGGTAAATAGACAATCCAAAAAATAAACTGTTTTCATATAAGAAGAACTAAGAGATCAGGCAAATTGAAAATCATGGACATAGTCTCCAAACATAGACCAGATGATGAAAAGTACCAAACCAAAACAAAAGTGATCAATATCTTGCATGAAGAAACCTTCAGTAGCACCAAAGGATGTTCCATTTCTAACTATATGAATAATAATACAAACTCCAGAAGGAAACATGATATAAATCAAACTGAGTCTGAGCTAAATACTTCATGCTGGAAAGAAACATGCAAGCTCTCTAAAATACTAAATTCCAAACAAATATGAAAATAAAAGGCCGAAAATTAGTGTCAATAAAGCTCATTATGAGATGTTTCATTCCTTGTTTGTTTGTTTTTTATGTTCGTCTACACTGCAATGTCAGAGAGATGATTTGTAGAAAATACTGAATTCCAAATAAATATGAAACTTAAGAGCTATATAATGTAAAAAAAAGTTCAATATCACAACGAGACACATCATGCTCTTTTTTTGTTTGTCTGACCATTTTGCAATGACAAAAAATCACTGCAAAAAGCCAGGTCAGGAACTTACCTTTACTGATTCTCCAACCAGATCTAAAGAACTTCACTCGTACAAACCTCCTCTGTCTTACAGCTAAAGGGTATTCGCATTCCTAGACATGATCATCAACATCAAAATATAAATTAAGAATTAACCATCGAGATGATAAATTCATGACAGCAAGTCCATGGAGGTAAATCACCTTGTAAAATGCAGCAACTAACTAATGCTTTCAAACTGATTGCAGTTGATTATTACCTTAATAAAGCAATAGAACGATTTATCTTTTCCTTCCCACAATCTCCATGCTAAAACATATTCCCTTGGCGTCAAGAGAGGAAATTTCTTAATTGTGCAACCAATTTCAGTTCCATTAGTTCTATCCACCTGCAGCTGCTCATGTTCAACCACGGTCTTATCCCACTGCTTTCTGTATTCATTGTCCATGTAAAAGTCCCTTAGCACCTCCATGGTGCAATTTTCAAACACCGTCAAGCTCAAGTACTTTATAGGAGCATCCTGCAAATATGCAACAAGAAAACACCACGTTACATTAATTCACTCTAATAGCACTCTCCAGTCTCCACCAATAATAACCGATCCCAGTACAAAAGATAAATCAATTGGTCAAGCCCCGCCTTTGTACCATAAGTAATGAACTCATAAAACACATTAAAAATTAAACTCTGAAATGAACGTAATTAATATATTCAACCAACCAAAAGGAGAAAACTTTTAGCAAATTGAAAACAGTACAACATTAGTAGTAGAAGGCAACTAACCTTAGGTTTGAAACATTTGGCAGTATATGCTAGAAGATTGTTTCTCTTATTTGTAACGTTTTCCCATTTCTCATTCTCAATTAGCTTCTCATCCAAATTCTCAATCAAAAACTTCAAGTCAGCTACTGAAACAATCTCTGAAACCCTGCATAAGCAGCAGAAAATAACAGAACTTGCATGTCAGTGACAAAAATCCACCCAAGATTGAAACTTTGATTCAATTAAACCAACCCCTATTCAACACAAACACCAAATCAATAACAAAAATGAAAAATAACCAAAAAGAAAGCATCCACGTAGAAGAAAAGGAGAAAATAATTATTTTCTCTTAAAAAACAGGGACTGGATCGAATAAGAAAAGCTATGCACCTGGAATTAGAGGAGGCAATATCAGTAGCAGAAGCAGCTGGAGAAGAAGAAGAAACGCTATGTCGCCTAGAAGAAGAAGAGAAGAATCTGAGCAGTCTTGTGGAGAAGTTGTAAAGGATAATGCAAAGAAGAACAAAGAGAATAGCACATCCATAACAAAAATTCAGTCTTTCATTTTGGAACCAAAAATCCATTGAAGATTTTAAAGAAGAATAGAGTGATGATCCATTGAAACCAAAGAAACCCATCTTTCTTTAGCAATTCTAAGTAAAACCCATAATTTCTTTTGGCTGATAGAAGAAAACAAAGGATGGAAGATCGGTCGGTCATTAACGAAGTTCACAGCTTTGCTTCTTTGATTTCCCTGACTTTTCTGTCACGACATTTTTTTATCTCTCTCTCTCTCTTTATTTTTTTAAGTAAATTATTCTTTAGTCCCTGTTGTTTGAATTAAATTATGACTTAATCCTTTATATTTAAGAACCTATAACTTAATCCCTTTACTTGCTAAGTGTTAGGCTTTTCTCTAATGTATCACCATGTGGGTTTTTCTCTAAGAATTTAAATCATGAAATGACAACGTTTTGGATTAAGGAAAAACCAAATAGTGTCCAAACAAGACAATGGTTAGCAAGATTCTAGGGGCTAAGCTATACATTTTAAACATTGAAGGACTAAGGAACACTTTACTCTCTTTTCTTATTTTCCTTCCTCCTAGTGGCTGTTAGTTGTTACTACAATTTTCTTGGTTGGGAAAATTAAGATAATCACAAAAGTTATGAGTAGGACAATTTTAGTTTGTTATTGTTAATGTATGTATCCATTGATTATTTGATTTCTAACATTGCCCCTTACCACGTTGAGATTCTGTCTGATTTTGGACGATCCACAAAAGTTTGTATATTTATAGTACAATTTTGTGTGCATGTTGATGAAAATATTTGGTTCTGGTTAAAATATTGAGAAAAAGGGCATTGTACTTAATTTTAGTGGAGAATCTTAAAGGACGTGTCATGTCTGGATCACTTGAATATCCACCCAATCCAATCCCTTCTTAGAATAATGCCAAATTATTTTACTGGTAGAAAGATGCCACTCTCAAGTTCATGGATAAGAGGATATGCATAAGCTACAAGATCATGCATAGACTCAGCATTGGCAATTATTTCCATCCTCCTATTGTTAATAGCAATTTATTGGTGAAAAGCCTCAGGGGATACTGCAGACAGCAACCATTCACTCCCCATCTTGTTCTCACTTTTCTGCACCAAACCAGTCATAGCGATGAAAATGACATGGCATGAATAATTACCGCAAGTTTAAGGATATAGTCAATAATTTTTTTTTTCAATGGCACTAAATAAAAGGTTTTGCATAAATCTCTTTCTCTTGGATCACGCTTTCAGTTCATCAGCTTGTCAGATTTACTATACTGCCTTCAAGATGATCAGTCCCTCTTAGAAATTGAATAGTGCACTTATCTTGTCTCTTAAAGAAGAGAGTTACACACTAGACGAGGTTCTAAAGTGATTTTGCTTTGCTTGAAAACAAGGTAAGCAGCAAGTTCCTTGTCATCAGCCACACTGCACATGCTGTGCACCTAAGAGTTAGAATCATCAGTTCGTAGGTGACTTTTTTGTGATTCATTCTATTCGTCTTCCTTCCACTAATACAAACTATCATTTGTTCCACGTTGGGTACTTGGTGCCAAGTGCTGACAGAATCCGACAACTTTGCTGTGTGACATCATTGTCATGATTCTTTCACAAATTGATGAATAACATGAAATAAATGAATTCGTAGCTCATTATGGAGAAACAGTAGAATCAATGAGGTTCTTCCTTCAACATCTTTTGCTATATTTCCCTTATTTGCAAATGCAAGAACTCAACCAGTGTCTCCACATAACTATTCTCACCCAAACTGCAACATTAGGACCAGGAAAACAAAAGGAACACTGACTACGACACTCAAAAAACCATGTATTATACATGTAGCACATCTGCCCCGCAAAACTCATTAGCCCTTCATCCAGTTATGGATGTGCTCCAATCAATTCTGAGATATAACTCTCTACCTTCACAAGATAATGGAGAACTAGAAGATAGAATTAAAGTTCATGTCACATACACTACCAGGCACTGCCAAATCTTGCAGTATTTGTTTCTTCCTAACTGGTCTGTGAGGTGGAGACAGTTGTGATACCATCTTCCAATTTAACTCTAGTTCCCACAGAACCATCAGTGCCAGAACTAGCTCGATCAGTAACAATGCCTTCTTTGCTAGACTCATCCAAGCAGATAACTTGAGCAAAACTCTTTGACATCTGCTTGATAATATCAGTTGGCAAGGTAACTGCATTTCTGTGCTCACTTTCTCCGACTACACCAACAGCCAGCAGGCTGGCTTGCTGTCTGGCCTTCCTATCTTGCATGGCTTTCTGTCGATCCTCGTAAAAATCAAAATCATCTAAGATAGATGTATCAGTTTCATAATTCTTAAAGATGATCAACATCTCAACACCCTGCTCCAATTTCACCTGCAATAAATCAAACTTTATATTAGGTACAAGAGAGCTGAGAAAATACATGTTTCGAAATTTCTATTTATAAAAGTGTGAAAAGAAACCAAATAATTTCCCAGAAAAGAAATAGCCCCATTATCATTAAAATTTTAAGCTTACATATAGCCAGTGACATCACATGAACTGCAACTGAGTCAGAATAAACTAACTACCTAGACTCTCCTGGAATTGGAATTTCAAGGACCAACAAACCACTTGTAATTTCTTGTTGTGGACCAAAAATACCTAAAGCACTAAGAAATTTTTGATGTTCCAAATGAATTCCTACCTCCTGCGTGTCTCGACTGTTAGTGACAGGCTTGTTGTCATTATTTTCCAAAACAATGTGACGAAACTGGCTGTTCGGGACATCTTTAATAATGTGCCATTTGACAGGGAACTGCCCACTCCACTTGTCCTGCTGCCAGTAATCCACACTCTTGTCAAAGTCAACAGGTCCAACCATTTCAGCCACCCCACAGAATTGAGCACTAGCATTCACCTGCATATAAGAGTAACAGATAGTACATAAGCAAGAAAAAAGAAATGAGAAGTTCAGAGGCAATAATAAAGATTTAGCATTCACCTGCTATAAGATTAAAAAAAAAATAGAAGAATATAAAGGGACCATAGAAATTAACAAAGAATTAGAAGTTCAAGAGGCAGATATGTTGCAGGAGCTTTGGTTTCCCTCCAATATTGGATAGGAGTAAATACAGCACTAAGACATTGATGCATTTAAAAGAAATGTAAACATCACCAAAATCTCTAGTTCAGTGATATATATCAAGTTCTTTCTTTGTGGCCCAAGGCAGTGGTCTGGCTTCCAAGTTACTAATCTTTGAACACTGAAGAATCAGGTATTTACCGAAAATAAGAGAAACACAGGACAAGGATCTTGCTTGTCCTTAGCTTCATGATAGGCAGTATCCAATTTTCTATTCCCATTTGGAGTGCTGGCCCAAACACCATATTTGATGCTCTTGTGAACATTATCTTCACTGTATGACTTGATGATGAAGAACTTAGCATCCTTGTATTCAGTCACAAAATCTGATTGGTTGTATGACTCATCATGGATCTTGGCAGATGGTTTGCTATGTTTCTTATCATCAACAGAAGGACCATGATCAGCTGTATTTTGAGCCTTAGACTTTGAGGCCCTTGGTCCTCTGTTTTGCTCGCTAAGAATATCAAGACTACCGTTGCAGCCACATAAGGAAATACTGCTTCTTCCTCGCAATCTGCTGTTTTCAAGGGAGAGCCAGCCCCGGCTGTTTGTCCCCAAACTAGAAATTGATGCATTTCCAAAACCAGATCCCTGATTGTAACCACTCTGCAGATAGGCTCTTTTGTAGGAGTTTGAACCTGATTCGAGGCCATAAAATGATCTTTGTTGATGAGATGCCTGCAACAAAAAACTTGTCAGCTAGCTTTAATACTAAAAGCCATAATCTGCCTCGTCAATTGTTATGACGATCCCTGGTGCTCATCATAACATGCTAACCAGTAACAAAAAATGCACACTATTTGTACATTAAAAATGTTTGCAACCATAGCCAAAATTTATGGCAGAGCAAATGTAAGCTAGGGATGTTATTAGGCCTCTTATACCATGTTTTGGATATGGGTAGAAAAGAAGGATAAGGTTAGTAAAAACCATGTAATAAATTCTTAAAAACATCAGCTGGCCTTCTATCTTTACAAGGAAAAAAGCAAGAGCCTTCAAACAATCATTTAGTCATTTATTGGCAAATAATAAAATAAGGTCTTTTGCATGATTGGTTTGCTAGGGCTACAGAAATCTTGCATAAATCATCATTTAAAGTTATGATAAAATTTCCGAATACTAAGCTTATAAAATTGATTTCGGACAAAACAATCTGCGCCATTAATTACAGTAACATCTTGTAATGAGAAAAGCTAAGTGGCATCATGTATTATCTACAGAATATTTAAAAAAAAGGTAAGAAAACAAACCATTCCAACATTCTGCCCAAATGACCCAAGCATGCCAATAGGCTGTGGAGAAACTGCAGGTGAAAAGGGGGACAAGGGCCTATTTCTATCAGAGGGTTTTGACCAAGCTGACCAAAGGCCTCCAGATCTCAATCCATCAAACCCATGCTGCAGATCATGGAAATCATGTTTTCCTGGAAAACTGCCTCCACTAATTGATCCCACAGGAGGATAACTAGGCCTTGGGCCAAAAAGCATGTTATCACCTTGTTGGTCGATGCTTGCCAATGTGTTGAACTCTGGTTGTGAAATGGGTGATGGTGAGGTAATATATGACATATTAGGAGGACCTAGATGCTGGTAATAAGGCGGCCCAGAAAATGGAAATTGCTGAGGGGAGTACAAGTGTGCATCACCACCGACAGAAGGTAAAGGAGTGGTGACTGGAGAATAAGGTCCATAGGGCATTTGCGGACTATATCCATATCCAGCATGAAATACAAGAGAGGGATTATCATTGTAGACACCCTAAATAAGATTAAAAAAAAAAGGGTCAAGGAATAATAGAAAATGTGATCTAAGTAAGAAAATGATGCAATGAAGGGGGTGCTTACAGGTGACCCAATTTCTAACCCTTCAGCATTTATGTATGGAGGATATTCATCCCATTCACCAGTCGCATTGTCATAACCTGATTGACAACATGAATAAAATGGCCCCTTAATTAATTTACCTAAGATATCAAGAATCAGAAACTAAAACAAAAAAATATTGCAGTTACATGCATTTGACGTCTAAACATTAATGCTTAGCGTCATCTGTGTGACATCAATGATCAGTGTGATCAGTGACCGTCAAGTTCAGGGCCCTAAAAAGGACTGTGAGACTAACCCCTGTAGTAGAACGCCTGTGCCTGAGGGGCATAAATATTAGGTCGATAGACAGCACGATCTCCAGGAGAACCAAAAGCTTCAGATTGACCTGTGTTATCCCTTGGATGACCTAAAGGAGCTGTATCCTGAGAGGAATTAGGAGAAACTGACATCTCATTTTTTGCTGATAGAGTCTGAAAAGAAGTTACAAATAAGGCTTATTTTAAACTTGTGAGTATGGAAAGAAAAAAAAAAGTTATGAGGATTGAAGTTTATGTATAACTACCCGCTCCTCCATGTTATCTGATTCAGCAGGTTTCTCTTCTGCATCCATGATCAGTATGCTCAGTGACTAAGTAGAGTCTTAGAAACACAGGCACTACAAATTTATTGACCAATCAAAGCTAAAATTGGAGATACGAAAACTTGAAGCTATGAATATGTGCGCACAAATCCACACATTCACACCTATGCACATATGGCAAATATAAGACCGTGAATACTTAAAAAATAATAATAAATAAATAAAAACCAGTAAGATCTATTCGATACAAGAATTAAACAGGCTACCGCCATACACAATACAAAACAATGAACAACCACTCATTAGTAACCACATTCTATACACTATAACCATTATTTGATCAGTCAAAGATATCAGCTTGAGAACAATAAGTTAGCTCATAAAAACAGACATCACCTCGAATTCTCAAGCATATCAAACATTTTTCTTTTCATGCCACTAGCTCATAATTCCAGAAAGCAACCATGTCATCAATTAAGCTTCCTGAACCTCCCTTCACAATACTTCACTGAATAATTAGCTATACATGACAAGCAAAACGGAGAAGTTGCAATAATTAAGGTCACCTCACACAACCCAGATCTCAGATCTCAAAATGAAACACCCAGCACAGCCCAGATCAAAGCAATTTAATACCTCATACATGTTTACAATATCTCAGCGTCCAAAAATACAAGGATCCTCCAAAAACTAAAGAAAGAAAAAGAAAGATTGACTTTTTATATTCAAACGAACATGACCAAACAATCCACGAGCCAATTCATCCTATAAATGACTTAATCTCCATCAAATCAAAACACCCCAACAACAAAAAGGAGACTTTGAATTAAAAACAAAAAGGAAAAAGATAAAAACTGTATACAATTATGATGAAGATAAGAAGTGGGGCAGGTAGAGAAGTACCAGAGGGACGATCTGGATCAGGTTGTGATAGTGATTGGGTTGCCGCCATATGAATGAATCAGAGGAAGATCTATTCAGAAATGGCACCAGAATCTAAGTCAAAATACCCAAAAAGTATATATCCTTTTCCCAACATAGTTATATAGAGGGAGTGAACAATTTTAAAATTAAAAATAAATAAGTCTAGTGGAGTAGAACTCCATCAATATTTTAAAAAACATATTAAAATATTATTATTATTATTATTATTTTATTATTTTAATGTTAAAAATATTATTTTAATATATTTTTAATTGAAAAATATTTTTTATAAAAATATTATATTAATATATTACGAAATACACATCTAGTTTATTCAATTAAATTTTATTTTTGATTTTATAAATTTATAATTAGTTGAGTTTAACTAGTTTAGCCAAAATTAAACCTAGAATAAATAATAAACAAGTATAAAAAAAAATTCTTCAACTCTCGTATCTTATCTTTCACTGATTTGAAAAAATAAGAAAGGAAATTTTATTATTTTAATATATTTTTTAATTAAAAAAAATTATGTGAAAATATAATATATTATATTACTAAATGCACATATAATTCAAGTCTAGTTTAGTTTTGATTATGGTTTAGAAATCTAACCACATTGGTTTAACCAAAACTAAACTTATAATACATAGTAAAAAAATATATTAATAAATATATTTTTAATTTAAATTTATTTATGTAAAAGTAGTAGGACTTGTATCACTTAACCTACACATAATTTGATTCGGTTTAGCTTTGATTTTAGTTGCAGAAATCCAAAACTTATTGACCCGAATTGATTTAACCAAAACTAAACCTAGGATAAAATACTAAGCAAATATAAAAATAAATAAAAACTTATTAAATGAAGCACATGATATCTGCCCAAATGCAACTACACATTATATATGCAGTCAATTATGGCATGAAGCTTTTTGCAAGTTCTTGTTTTTATCATATTTTTTGTTTTTTTAACATGGGAATTAATGACAATATAGTATTGGGAGGGTAGGCTTGTGCTCCAAGCATAGCTCGAACCTTCAAATTCTCTTTTCTTCTCGTAGTGAGATGGTGAGATGGTATCCTTCAGAATATATAAAAGGTGGTGTTTATCAAAATATTTTCCCTACTCTAGTGGGTAACTAGGTATCATTAAAAATAAGATTCATAACTTCCACATCTTAAAAAGCATCAAACTAGTTATATATAGTTTTTTTACAATATTTTGATTTAGAGTGTATTTGACAACGCAATATTATTTTTATTTAAAAATATATTAAAATAATATATACATATATATTAAAAATATAATTTAAAAAGTACTTCATAAAAACATATTAAAATGAAAAAATAAACGAAACATATTAAAGTGTGAAAACAATAACGCTGTTAACTTTATTTTTCATAAAGTGATAAAATTAAATATTTTATACAAGTACAAGGAGAAAAGGAGTCACAATCCCTCAATTATAATGGAAGCATCTAAAAATCAACTTATAGTTACGACAAACATCACCCTAAGATATCTCCTCTCTTAAGAAAGATTTATTTATGTATTTATTTATTTATTTATTTTGTATATATAGAAGTAGAACTCAACAAAATTTGCCTGACATGCCACTTATAACAATCACAACCACAGACAGGCATAAACACAAATTCTCAAACCAAACTATGGTCTTGATTGTTAAATTTGACTCTTCAATTTTGTGTCCATAAAATGTTTGACATAAAATCCCAACAATTTTTATGATATTACAGATGTTTTAAACAATTATTCTCGTTTTGTTAACTAGGTAAGGAAGTGGCACAGTGTTATCTAAATGACAATACAGATGCAGTAGAGTTTTGTATGCATGAGCCGTATTATAATATTTTATCAGTTGCAACTTACACTTTGCAGGAGGAGGAATGATTAGTACTTAAAAATACATTCTCATTAAGGTTTTATGTCATCATATAGCACCTAAAGTATCATTAAATTCCCTAACTAAAGCATGTTTTATATTAACAAGTCTAATAATATAATATACATTTAATTCATGGTAAATATTCATCCTAAATGCAGGTTTATCACATAAATAAAAGGATTAATTGATGAGTTTAAGTATTGAAATTGAAAGGATAAAGAGAGGGCTAAACTTAGAAAAGAGTTGTTGCTGCAGTCCAAACTCGAACATTATTCGGTAATTAGATCATATCTGGAGTTGTAGATCTCAGATTTACGTCCACTTTATATGGATGGAAAGGTAAGACATAGACCTACAACTTTCATGTGGACTCAAAGACTCAATTATGCCGTTTTCAAGTTTAAATCTTAACAACAACAAAGAAGTCGGAAGTTGTCCTACAACTCAGCACTGTTCTATTTTTAGCTCATATCTTGAGTTTTAAAAGTCCAAATAAGCTCTAGTTTTTTTTTTTGTTGGAAAGCTGAGACAATTTTTCACAACTTCCGCATTCAGAGGGCTCTAATTCTGATGTTAGTAATGACATTTTGACCAGCCAATAATATCAATAATCAGTCGACAATATTAATAACCAACAACCACCAATATCAAAAACCAGGCACCAATATCAAAAACCAGGCACCAAATCAATTGTTGGCCATCGACTATTTTCTTATTCAACCAATAAATTGTTCTAAATCTCAGCTTGTAAAAGGAGGCTTTTGCGATGTATTTATTCATATTAATTTTTAGATTAAAATCATCTTATTGCTTTCTCTCTTTATATCTTTGTAATGTTCAAGTTTTCTTTCATGCTATATTAATCTTTTCTTTATGCTCTTTCATTTCCTTTTCTATATTTAGTTAACTTATATCATGTTTATATTTTTATATTATTTATTATATTTTTCTTCTTCTTAATGTTTAGCTAAGTTTATTATGTCAAGGTGAAAAGGTTTCACCAATAGTGTTAAAATAGGTATAATATAAACTCAACATGGACTTCAATGTTTATATCCAAGAAAGTTTGCTTTTAACATGTTTCATCTTTTTATCTTACTAATTCTTAATACCTTACTTGTTAAATAGTTAATCTAGATTTATATTATATAATACTTGGTATATCAAATGCTTGATCCTGCATAGTTTTCTACCGATATGGTTATTATGATAGGAACTTGATTTGTTGTTAACATAAGCTAGCAACATGAATGCCTGATAATATTTATAAGTATGATGTTAATTAGATAATTTGATTAATATGATCATGTTAATAATTTATATTGAGCTAATAACGATAAATCATCCGATTGGAACTTTCTTTATGTGTGGTTTCCAATTGAGTAAAAAAAAAGTTTATATTATATTTATTTGAAATACCATTAGTGAATCCTCTAACCCTGACATTTGTTTTATCATAGCTTAATCCTTACATAAATATTATATCTCAAAGTTCTCTTCAACATCAAAAATTATTTTAATATTTGTAATTTATATAATTCACCTCTCTGTGGTTCAACTCCAGTCTTGTCAGGTTATTTATTATTTAGACACTCCTGCACTTGGGATAAGACATCAACTCTTTGATCATGTCAAGTTTTTGAGGCCGTTGCCGAGCAGTTAAGTTATTGTATAAATTAAATATTTTATTTTATTTTATTTTCACTTTTATTTATTTTTCTAATTATTGTTTCCTTTTTTTTTTGCGCTTGCATGAGAGTTTAGACACGTACATTAAGTGGTAGACTTTCTTAAAAATCCATATTTTCTTTAGAAAACATGGCCAAAGAAGATGACCAGTCAATTCATAATGAGAATAATGGTGTTAAAACACTAAGAGATCATATGAATCCAACGAGAACAAGTGCATCATCATGTATAGTTTTTTTTCCTGATGCATCTTATTTTAATTTTAAGTCAGGTATTATTCAACTTTTACCCTCTTTTCATGGCTTAGAATTAGAAAATTCATACTTGCATTTAAGAGAATTTAAAAAAGTTTGTAACACCTACAATGACTTAAATTATAGCATGAATGATACAACCAAAAGATTGATGTCTTCTTCTAAGTGAAGGAGTGTCGAAGTAATAAATAACCCGGCAAGACCGGGATCGAACCATGGAGAGATTAATTGTATAAATTATAGATAACAACAACAACAACAATAATAATAAAGAGGAAAAAAAGAAGAAAAAGAAAAAGAAATTGATGAGAGTTTTGAGATGGAAGATTAACGTAAGGATTAAATAATGATAACAACAAATATCAAGATTAGAGGATCCGCTAATGATATGTCAAATAAATATAGTATAAACTCTTATTATTCAATTAAAAACCACACACAAAGGAGGTTCCAATCAAATTATAAATTGTTAACATGATTACATTAGTTATCTTATTCAATTAATGTTAATACTTGTAAATGTTGTTAGACATTCATGAATATAACTTATGTTAACAACAAATCAAGTTCCTTTCAGAACTCAGGTGTTAGTTATACCATACAGTATACGCTATGAAAGTGTTAAGCATTTGTTGTACCAAGTGTTATACAACATAAATCTAGATTAGTCATTTAACAAGCAAAGTATTGGAGAGTGAACAAGATAACAAATACAAAATATTTTAGTATGAAACATTAAAGTCCATATTATGTTTACATTATACTTATTCTTACACCATTAGTGTAACCTTTTCACCTTGACATAATAAACTTAGCTAAACATAATGAAAAAAAGAAAAATAAATAAACAAAATAAGATAAAAGTTAACTAAGTAAAGTAAATAAATTGAAAAGCATAAACAAGATATTAATGAAAAAAAAACTTAAGCATTACAAAAATACAAAGAGAGAAAAAAAGAATATGATCTTGATCTGGAGACCAAGATGCCTAAATGCATGGCAAATACCTCCTTTTATAGGCCAAAATTAGAAACTATTGATTTGATGATTAATTGATGAGTGGGTGACCAACTCTTAACTTGGTGACAATCTTTATTTTCTCTTGTCTCCAAAAAACATCATTGATAACATCAGAATTGGAATCACTTGAAAACATGAAAGTTATAAAAAATTATCTCAGCTATCTAGGAAGAAAAAATTAAGGTAATTTAGACATCTAAAACTCTAGATATAGGCCAAACACTAAACAATGTTCGGGTTACAAGATAGATTCAGATTTTTTTATTGTTGCTACAATTTGGACT